AAAAATAAAAAAATTATTAAAAAAAAAACCCAAAAAAGGATAATTTTTGTTTATGGTTTTCTGCAGCCAATCAAAGAATAGTTTTCCCCCCGGGAGGGGCTGAACCAGTCGCTATGTAAAGCCCCCCCCCCCCCCGGCAAACCTTCACTATCTTGGCGTCTCCTAGCAGACAAGACCCGGGGGAGGAGGGGAGGTCGCAGACAGCAGAGTCTAGAGAAACCGATGCGTACCGATCACTGTCACATCGGCACATACTTGAAAAGGATAGAGCAAGATAGGGACCCTAACTGCCGGAATTGCAGCCTGGTCCCGGAAACTCTAGCACATCTTTTGACCGAATGCCCGTCACTAGATGTTTCAGGGGAGGCCAGGACGGCGGGAGAGCCCTACGTGAGGAGAATGTTATGTGGCAAAGCTGAGCAGATGAAGCTGGTTGCAAAGTGTACTGGCTGGGGTCGTACGAGATTAGCCACGGACAACCAGGCTTGTGCCGCATCATTTCTTTGGCCGAGCTCTGGTTCAGCTCTGATCTGGATACATTTTGGCCGAACTCTGGTTCAGCTCTGATCTGGATACATTTTGGCCGAGCTCTGGTTCAGCTCTGATCTGGAGACACTTTGGCCGAGCTCTGGTTCAGCTCTGATCCGGAGACACTTTGGCCAAGCTCTGGTTCAGCTCTGATCTGGAGACACTTTGGCCGAGCTCTGGTTCAGCTCTGATCTGGATACATTTTGGCCGAGCTCTGGTTCAGCTCTGATCTGGAGACACTTTGGCCGAGCTCTGGTTCAGCTCTGACCTGGAGACATTTTGGCAGAGCTCTGGTTCAGCTCTGACCTGGAGACATTTTGGCCGAGCTCTGGTTCAGCTCTGATCTGGATACATTTTGGCCGAGCTCTGGTTCAGCTCTGATCTGGAGACATTTTGGCCGAGCTCTGGTTCAGCTCTGATCTGGAGACACTTTGGCCGAGCTCTGGTTCAGCTCTGATCTGGATACATTTTGGCCGAATGAGTGGAAGTGTGTGGCGAGGCACGCCAAAGCCCTACAAGGGCTGAGTGGAAGGGTGTGGCGAGGCAGGCCAAAGCCCTAAAGGGGCTGAGTGGAAGGGTGTGGCGAGGCAGGCCAAAGCCCTACAGGGTCTGAGTGGAAGGGTGTGGCGAGGCAGGCCAAAGCCCTACAGGGGCTGAGTGGAAGGGTGTGGCGAGGCAGGCCAAAGCCCTACAGGGGCTGAGTGGAAGGGTGTGGCGAGGCATGCCAAAGCCCTACAGGGGCTGTAGCGCCACAGGGAAGAAGGATATTCCAAAAAATCAGAATTTTTGTTCTTGGACATGATTATTTCTTATAATTTTTAAACAAATTATTGCGATAGATTTTGAAGTATATTTAAATAATGCTATAAAGAATAATTTTTATATTTTAAATCAAATTTTCAAAATTTAAATAAGATTTGATAAATTCAGTATCTTCCAAGATTAATTTACACAATTTTGTAATTTTTTTTCCCTTCCGATTAAATAATTTGATTTAGAAAAAAAAAACAAAAAAAAAAACTTATTTTCAGTCTATTTCTAATTTCTAAAAACTGAAAACTTTAATTGAATAAAATTAAATTCTTTATTTTAAATGTGTCTAAACTAATTATAAAAAATAAGTAATATATTCTGTGATTAATCATACGTGAACACAAAGGGGACTCATTTAAGCAAGGGTCTTTAAATATAAATAGGCTCGATAAATACAAATAATTAAAGTCAATTAAATTCTATTTAAAGAAAAAATAAAGTAAATCTTGATTGTCATTCGTCCTCTATTAATGTTTGAAACCACTTAAAAAATAATATAGTTATTAAAAAAAAAACCCAACAAAGTATAATTTTTGTGTATGGTTTTCTGCAGCCAATCAAAGAATAGTTTTCCTCTCGGTAGGGGCTGAACTAGTCGCTATGTAAAGCCCCCCCCCCCCCC